CACAGAGACGCTCGCTGTCACCTCAAAGACCCCCGATGTATTCTCGACCACGGTCGAGGTCCGCACGAAAACACTCAAATTCCCCACAGAGATGCTCGCCGTCTCCACGGAGACACTCGGGGTCTCCGCGACAACGCTCGGGGTCTCCACGAAGACATTCGAAGTCCCCACGATCACAGTTACTTCAGAGAACAGATAGCAAACAGCATATGAAAGACCGTGAATCAGCGGAAAGAGTAATGAAACAGAGCTACTCGGTAAGAGATGGTAAAAGCAGTGATAAATTTGCAACAGTTGAAACACGAGGTGAAAGGAACTCAAATGATGAAAAAGCTAACGAATGTTCACCTGCAACTGAAGAGCGCTTTCCAGAAAGGCGACGTGAAGAAGAGGAAAAGACCTTTGCAAATGAAGGCTATGCAAGGTCAAAGTTTGCTTCAATCAATGAAACTGGCAGACACAGGAGAGGAGAAAAAACTAGCAGTAACAGCAACAGTGAGGAATTTGAACAAGAAAGTCGAGACATTTTGTACAGATTGGAAAAACAGAGCCATCTTGCGCGTAAAGAAGACACCAGGGACATACGGAAACCAACTTCATACTCGAACGGTGACGAACAGACATGGAGAAGCTTAGCCCGTGATTATGAGTCTGAAGAAGGTCATGGAACTTTGGAGGCACAAAGTTATGCACCCATTCCATTAAGCAAAGAACGTGAAAATAACCGAGAACGTCTACAGTCTCGCGGTGAAAATAATGATGAACAGATTTCTCCAAACGAGGAAAGCGCAGGCAGTGAACAAGAGGACAAACGAGCTTTCCTTCAGTGTGAAGGAAGGTTTAAACATCAGGGTAGCTCAGAACGTAAAACTGGTCGTCGACAGCGCAGTAGGAGTTTTGATAGACGCAGAGGTGGCTCTCAAGAGAGTGACCGGAACCGGAAGTCACCTCATCACCATCGTTGTCATCATCATCGTCATCATCATCATCGACACCATCATAAAAGAGACGCGAGGCAATCGGAAAGAAACATTGTCGTGACCAAGAAAGAACAGGACAGTTCAAGTGACTGACTTAATTGCCTGTAAACTGCTCAAAGATCGGTAAGATCGTGAACGTAAACAGCACTTCAATTTCCAATGTACAATATTTTGTACGTTTCTCTGTAGAAACAGTCGAAAACGACACTAAAAGGTGAAAAAGGAAGTTATGTCTTGAGACAAATAAGAAACAAACTCACATCCGTTCAAACTTTTTCCAAGTTTTCCGAAGCTTTAATTCAAACCCCTGTCTAAAGAGAGAAGAACAGGCATTTATTCATGACTTATCCTTTAACGACATATTTATGGTCTTTCATACTTGCATCAATTTTCCCTTTTGGAGGCTACTTATCGTAAACTGCCGCTTCTACATCTTGGTAAGGGGTTTTAGGAGGGTTTATAAACGGAGGGGCTTACATCCGAGGCAGCTTATCACAGGACTAGAAAACGCTTCGAAGCAATCTACAGAAGTGCTAGTCAAAATAATTTTGCATTTACTGGTTTTCAACTAAGCGTCAAAAGGTTGTAATAAATCGAATTCATTTCAATACATTTGGGGGGTGGGGGATTATAATCGGGTGTATTTTTTTGTTTACGGGTTGATGGGTCTAGCTGGTGGGGGTGGGGGGTGGGGGGCTTTATAAGCGGCTTGTTGTAGTATATCCAGGATCGAACCCTAATGTGATGCACTATCATTATGATAGCCATCATAAAGTGTCCTAATGAACAGAAGATCATCAAAATAATTGTAATTCGAACAAATATGAAGTACTGTAAAAATGAAAAAGAACCCAGTCAAATATCAAGTATTTTAAAATAATGTGCGTTTAATCTTGGACATACTAACTAACTCTTAGAGACGGTTTTGCGTTGTTACGCCGCAGGGGGCTCGGGCTTCTTTGAAGTCCTTTAATACACACGCACTGGCTCTTGATATGTGTTATTGACCAAGCGCGAGATCAAGAAGGCTGGATATTGATCAAGTTCTTGTTTTCGCTTTCACGGATCAAATAAAGACGATAATAACAACGCAAAAAAGAACGAGGAGGCCAATATCCAGCCATCTTGACCGAACAAGCTGGGACAATAAAGGATTTATTTCATGGCCAAAAAGATATCATTTTCTTGCTGGACCAAGGCGAAAAATGTCGAAAGGCAAGATGGGCACATCTTTCAGGCTCAGTCGAGTAGCCAATCAGTACACAGGTTTCGCGTCATATTGCCGGCTCGCGGATTCAGCCATGCTAATAATCCTTAAAATAGCCTGGGTGCCCTGTTCCTGGGGGTGCATCGTTTGCCTGTTTTTGTCAAAGCAATCCAGATTTTTATTTGCGTGATCAACTTTTCAACACGCAGTATAAAACGCTGTCGGAAAGCATCAATAGTCTTTCATGTTTTAACGCCTCCAGGGAAAATTATTAACCTGTAGTTAACTGTCCCAAAATCTTTAAGGAATGGTAAGCAAGCAATATTCCGAAACCGCGTTGTTTTGATTGTGACCTAAATCATAAAATCTTTTGACCCATAAAAGGGTAGCGTCCGTGTCTGTCAACATGCTATAAAGCCAGAAAATATAATACCCTTTTTTTTTAGCTTCTCGGCTAAAATATTTCGTAACTGCGCTAGCCCCCAAAATTCCGGCGCTTTCTGGTGAAAACAACCCAGTTTAACTCTGGGATACTGGCCCCAGTTGTTTATCCACCGGAAAAATCGTTATCCAAAGGACATGAAGTATTATGGACACCACTGAATTGCATGCACTATCCGTTTGATAGAGATTTATCCAGTGCTTACACCTTTTGAACGACTGGGGCCTGGAGTTTAAACACAAAGGCGACAAGTTGGCGTTCCAGGAAAAAAAATTGTGTTCTACGAAAACTACACGTTTTAATGCCGAACAGTCCTAAAAGGAAGAAGCCAAGAAAAAACGGACCTTGTTTCCCTCCAAATAGAGTGTAAATAAATAAGCAGCAAAACTGAGTTTTACGGAGGCGTCAAATGTCATGTTTGATGGTGTAAAAAACTGGGGAAAGGGGCTACTCACTATAAGATTTACATGGTTTTATATACCATTTTCCCTGAAAAGGTATCTCTTTCGTTCACCTTCCATTGAAAATACTACCCGGCTTTTGCACGATCTGTCTAATAAGAATGAATCGCTAAAACAGCAAGTCTCTATGTCACTTAGAGTAACGTTTAATAAATGAACATGATATAGCAATCATATTTAAGTACTTAAATGAAAGATTTTTGTACAAAAAAAGTCGTGCCCCTCCCACTTCCTGAAATGGATTAATGCATGACCCTTCAGAAATACCCAAACCAATACATCTGACCCTCCCCCCCCCCGCTACCTATCCAAGACAAAAATAACCGGAAGTGAAAATAACAAACTGGAAGTGTTACTCATATAACCGCGTTCATCTGCGCACAAAGTAGTTAATTGCGAGGCGTGTGATTGTACTGTGAAAACTTGAAAATGGGCAAGGATGTACGAGGAACAGAAAGATGGAAATGTGCTTGTGGTAAATGAGTAGTATAGGAGGGACCGAATTAACCCCTTTTTTGGGGGGGAATCTCATTAAGGTGGGGGGGAATAAATTAACGCCAATGACGTCATAACCTTTTGTCTTGATCTCATGAATAAAATGCGCAGGAATCTCATTAAGATAAGGTCGTGTGCTATTTAAAATTCGTTTAGGTTTTCTAGTTACTTTAAGGTCGATAAACGTCTTCGTTTTCTATTGGTTAGTTAGAAAATAAGAAAAGTTTTCATTGGTTAATTCATAGTACCTGAGGAGTGAAGTCAAACTTGTTTCTGACTTAAAATCACTGAGACGTAACGTAATTATGCAAGTTCTATTTCCTGCTGCTGCGATTGTCATGGTTCCGGTTCACTGATTTTTGGCAGGCAAATCGTGCATATTAATGAGGGCAAAGGCCAACTAGCTCTTTTTTACACTGCAAACAATGTTTTACTCACCCCTCTCCTTTTCATTTTTTTTTACTTTCCTCCTCCTCCACAATTTTATTATTTTCGTTCCTCAATTCCCTCCTCCTCCTCCTCCTCATTTTTATTGTTTTCCCTCCTCCTCCTCCTCATTTTTGTTTTCCCTCCTCCTCCTCCTCCCCATTTTTTTGTTTTCCTCCTCCTCCTCCTCCTCCTCCTACTCCTCATTTTTATTGTTTTCCCTCCCCCTCCTCCTCATTTTTATTGTTTTCTCTCCTCCTCCTCTTCCTCCTCATTTTTATTGTTTTCCCTCCTCCTCCTCCTCCTCCTCATTTTTGTTTTCCCTCCTCCTCATTTTTGTTGTTTTCCCTCCTCCTCCTCCTCATTTTTATTGTTTTCCCTCCTCCTCCTCCTCCTCATTTTCTATTGTTTTCCCTCCACCACCACCACATTTCTATTGTTTTCCCTCCACCACCACCACCACCGCCACCACATTTCTATTGTTTCCCTCCACCACCACCACCACCGCCACCACATTTCTATCGTTTTCCCTCCACCACCACCACCGCCACCACATTTCTATTGTTTTCCCTCCACCACCACCACCACCAGCGCCACCACATTTCTATTGTTTTCCCACCACCACCACCACCACCACCACATTTCTATTGTTTTCCCTCCACCACCACCACCACCACCACCACCACATTTCTGTTGTTTTCCCCACCACCACCACCACCACCACCGCCACCACATTTTCATTGTTTCCCTCAAAAGGCCAAGGGCCAAAATCAGGCCTAAAGGGCCAGGCTCAGGGGAAACAATAAAAATGTGGTGGCGGTGTGGTGGTGGTGGTGTGGTGGAAAACAATAGAAATGTGGCGGTGGTGGTGGTGGTGGTGGAGGGAAAACAATAGAGAAATGTGGTGGTGGTGGTGGTGGTGGTGGTGGTGGGGAAAACAATAGAAATGTGGTGGTGGTGGTGGTGGTGGTGGAGGGAAAACAATAGAAATGTGGTGGCGGTGGTGGTGGTGGTGGTGGTGGTGGCGGTGGTGGTGGTGGTGGTGGTGGAGGGAAAACAATAGAAATGTGGTGGCGGTGGTGGTGGTGGTGGTGGTGGAGGGAAAACAATAGAAAATGAGGAGGAGGAGGAGGAGGAGGAGGGAAAACAACAAAAATGAGGAGGAGGGAAAACAAAAATGAGGAGGAGGAGGAGGGAAAACAAAAAAAAGGAGGAGGAAGAGGAGGAGGAGAGAAAACAATAAAAATGAGGAGGAGGGGGAGGGAAAACAATAAAAATGAGGAGTAGGAGGAGGAGGAGGGAAAACAAAAATGAGGAGGAGGAGGAGGAGGGAAAACAAAAAAATGGGGAGGAGGAGGAGGAGGGAAAACAATAAAAATGAGGAGGAGGAGGAGGAGGGAATTGAGGAACGAAAATAATAAAATTGTGGAGGAGGAGGAAAGTAAAAAAAAATGAAAAGGAGAGGGGTGAGTAAAACATTGTTTGCAGTGTAAAAAAGAGCTAGTTGGCCTTTGCCCTCATTAATATGCACGATTTGCCTGCCAAAAATCAGTGAACCGGAACCATGACAATCGCAGCAGCAGGAAATAGAACTTGCATAATTACGTTACGTCTCAGTGATTTTAAGTCAGAAACAAGTTTGACTTCACTCCTCAGGCACTATGAATTAACCAATGAAAACTTTTCTTATTTTCTAACTAACCAATAGAAAACGAAGACGTTTATCGACCTTAAAGTAACTAGAAAACCTAAACGAATTTTAAATAGCACACGACCTTATCTTAATGAGATTCCTGCGCATTTTATTCATGAGATCAAGACAAAAGGTTATGACGTCATTGACGTTAATTTATTCCCCCCCACCTTAATGAGATTCCCCCCCAAAAAAGGGGTTAATTCGGTCCCTCCTATACTACTTAAATGCGAGGATTTCATGAGGTCAGATGGAGCAACTCAGTGTGGCTATTGTGGCTGTTTGCCGACTCACCATTCTAAAGAAGATGCCCGCTACTCCTCTGACTCTGTTGGTGGCACATCGGCTGTGGGAACAAGTGAAAGCGCAAGTCCAGAGAAGTGGAAAGATGAAGACCTAGAGTGGTTCCCGAACCCAAAGGGCGAATAAACTGAATTCTCAAATAGTATTCTGCCAAAATTCTACCTGTCCTTTTGGACCACTTGTCCCTATAAGGAACGCTATAGGGCAACATTTTTGCATAAGCTTTAAATTGCAGGAAGCCCCTATTCCCCCCTCCCCGCGTGTAAAGCATCGTTGAAAATCCGCCTGACTTCATAAACTGGTCTCGCGCTCGCTACTGATTCTAAAACCAAATGTGGGACAGTTTTCTAGCTTTGCTTGATGAAGACCTGAATGCAGAATAAAACAGTTCTACACAAGGTAGTTTAAATTTGATTTCAAGTTGATTGTCCTATGAAGTGACTGTAGTTGTTTGGTTTGTTGCGATACAGTAAAAACTTGCGGCGACTTAGAGCCTGTTTGCATAGAGATGGGGGACCCCAGATAGATGAGGCAACATGTGGCGGGTCGCCCCACCTATCATGTAACGTGATCAAATTAAAATGAGAGATCATATGGACAGGTGTTTCACTGTAGGACACAGAACGCGGAATTCACTGGAAACTCAAAAGTGGTCGACAGAGAGATTTTGATTAGTAATTCACTGGAGGTACAATCATTCAAGTGTAGCGAGGATCGTTAACTGCTATATCACATGGGTATTGAAATCAACGGCATTCGTTAATATAACTGGCGCTACCGGTCATCAAAGAAGCCATCAAGGGGAATGAAAAGTAAGGATATGATAATCTGGGCCTGTTATGTCTTCCGCTTTATATTGACTCAGTGGGCTTATATGTTAATGAGTCAGCGAAAACACAATGGCCAACACGGAATATATAAATTCCAAGAATATTTTTGTCTGGAAACTCCATATATAAAATAGTGGACCACTAACAGTCAGTAAAGTTCAGCTCAGTTCTTCGTCACCATTTAATAAACGCGCAGTCTATTCGCTGTTAGTCTGGCAGCCGGGTAAATCCTTCGATACAGAACAGGTAACAACGAGAACATGAAGAACATGTAAGAACATGTCAGTATGTCGTAGTTTCTGATCTGACTCGTCTTAGCAAACTTTAAATAGTTACTATTGGCTGAATTTATTCATATTGGATTGAAGTTTACTTTCTAACTTGGGTAATGCATAATGTTGGGGGAAGTTGTATCTCTTAGCTTTATCATTAATACTCTGACACCCCTTAACTTGTGACGAATAGATAGCAGACACTTCTTCACAGTATTACACTCTTATTTCATTGCTTTCTTTTGTTTAGTCGTAAACTATTGAGCACTAATTTTTACGAGATAGTGCTCTACGGGTTACATAAAATCCCTTGATCAAACTATCTCGATAACTATCAGCAACCACAAGTTTCTTTTTTCCGATTAATCGTCTCCTATGTGCCCGAAGTCTGATAACATTCAGAACATTGATTTAACCCTGCTTTAAGCTGGGTCTTCAAGCCACCCTCCTTTTACTGAAGCACAAAGTTATGAAGCAAAAGCAAAATTTATGCCTTTTGAGGGGAACAGTTACACAGTAAATAGGGCCATGTATGAAGTCATAAGCCACGGCTGTGGATACACTAGAATTAAGAACGATGAAGGCGATTATATTTTCGGTGGCCGTCAGCGGGCTTTTGTTGTGGCTTGTGCAACTGAGCCAAACGAACCGCTCGATGCCTGATGAAGTGTGCAAGTGGCCCTGCATTCTATCAGTGAATTTAAGCCGAATTTCACCAAATTGCAAATATAGAAGTAAAGCTAAGTAAGATGAAATGCAGATTTTTACTTGGAATAAAACGTTTTACTGAACAGTACTCAGTGGTTCTTTCAATTTAAAGAAAACAGTATCGAAACTCAGTTGAGAATCACCGTGGGCTCAAAATAACAGAAAAAAATATTGCACAACTGGAAACCCTAGTCAGCTGTTTTATAAAATTTTATAAAATTTCATAAAATTTTGTAAATTTTTACATGATTTTATGAAATATTTTTTACAAACTTCACTCTTTTATAAAATTATATTTTATTTCATAAAACTTTGTATGTTTTTATAAAACAAAATTCAAAATAGTTCATGCGCTTATAAAATTTTATATACTTTTATAAAATTTTAGGCCCAATACAACTCTGTAAAGTACAATAATTTATAATTGCTCAAATGTCACGAAACTACTTGACAGTTTTTTGGCACCCCCTGTTTGAAGTTTTCCCAGCTTTAAGTCCTTTATTATTGTTTTCATGGGATGACCATGTCAATCTGACAGGGGAAAGGGATTTCAGACAGATTCTTGCCTAAACTACCCCCACCCTCCCACGAAGCACACATAAACAAGAAATTTAATATTGATGTATAAGTTTTATAATTCAGTCCCTCTAATTCTATCAATAGCAATGTCAGTGTACGTTTTGGTTTGCAGCCACCTGACCAGGTGGCCATTATTGGTGGTCAAAACATTAAATATGTATTTTTTCACAGAATTTGTTTGAAAGTAGAAGAGAAGACTGGGAAAAATTGGGCTTCAAGTAATATTTATACTTTTTGCAAGGGAGGCCAAGTTCCAAGATAAATGATGTATTAGTTCGTAGGTTTGATCATTGATGGGATAGTTTTGGTCAAGATGCTAAAAAAATAGGTTAAACCTAAAGCTAGTGAAAATATGGAGCTCTGAAATGTTGTTAATATATGTTAATTGTTCATTTGAAAAGTATTTATCTGTTTCTGATTGGCTAAAATCCCCCAGATAATTCTCCACAACCAACTACCATTGACCAGTTTAGGAAGACATTATACCAATACCAGGACAGTTAATACCCATATTGTTCTGATACTAATCGAGGAAAAGGCCAACAGTAGGAGCACAGTAATTCAACTGCTTAAGTGGAGATGGTGAAAATGGTGGAGATTCAGTAATTCAACTGCTTGGGTGGAGATGGTGAAAATGGTGGAGATTCAGTCTTAAATTTTAAGAAGAAAAAAATAACTACAATAGGGCCCCAGTAACTCAAACTCTGAAGGGAAACGAAAAACAGTTTGAGTTAGCAAGGAATTCAAGTTATGGGGTAAATTTCAGTGAAATTAACAAAGTTAAGGGAAGGGAAATTTAGTTCAAGTTAGCGAGAAATTTGAGTTATCTGAGGTTCTACTGTAAACTGTGCCTAAAATAAATTAAGGAATGAAGGGTGACAACTGCTATTTTGAAGAATATCGGCAATCGCAACTAAACATCCGCTGCCAAAAAAACATGCAAATACACGTATTATAATTATTATGAACATGGAGGCAGCAACTTACATACGTTTTAAACTTGAAATAATTTTGAATGAATATTATATTAAAACAATTATTGCCGATTTGTCTTGAGTGAGAATTATGCAGCTATCAAGGGGGCTCGATCCGGATTATTCTTCGCAAAATAGTGATTCCAAAGTGAATGCAAATAGAATATGTGAAACTCAATATAACTTTCACTCTTCAAGAACCAGATAATCAAATAATCAAATAATAACTTAAAAGAAGGAAGCTTCTTAGTCAGAGAAAAACAAAACTTAAGCCTTTTTATAAGCTACTGTAAAAGTCCAGATTTATATGCTTATCTGTTTTCCCTAATTCAAGTGGCTCACTCTCCGGCCCGCTGTAAGAATAAGTTCTTTCACTGGATGACCCTATCATAAGCAGCATATTCAAGCAGGTCTGTCCACCCTAACTGGTAAAGAATGATGAGAATTTATTAGATTTGAAAGTGTGTTAAATTTGTACAGGAAAAGCTCTCCGATTTGGAATTTATAAAGAAGCATTCGCTCAAGGTTCGTGCATGCATTAACGCTTAAATCAAAGAAAGCAAGGAAAGTTGTGTTGTGTAATTAAAATGACCACACTGAAATACAGCCGTAAGTACTCACCTCATAGTACTTTTTTTTTCTTCCATTCGGCATATTGAGCTTCTGCTTCTGTATAACGACAGGTAAAAATATCATAAACGGTTCTACTGACTTCAATTGCCAACTCAAAGCGATGCACGAAGCAGTTTCCTTTAATATTCTGACCTCAGTTTAGTTCTCATGCTTGTCCCTCACATATTTTTTCATTAATTTAATCAGTCAAACAAAAAGAATATGCAGAAAGATCTACGATCTAGCTCGATCCGAACGTCCAGAAACCAAGATGGCCGCACTCGGACGGGACGGTGAAAGACTGGATCCTAGAACCCGTGTTTTAGCGGTTTTGGCGCGAATTTCTGAACGCGGCTGCCAAACTCTCTTCATTCGTTCAAGATAAAGTTGTATTAGCTGAACAGCGAACAAGAACAAGAGATATTTTTTCCCCCTACATCGACTTGTAATTCTTTCTTCTATGGAGTTTTCATGTTTAAAATAATCAAAGACTGGCCGAAAAGGTAAGTGCTTTCCTTTCCTTTAATTTGGTTGAATGGGGTTCTCTTTTTATAATATTTTTTGACCCTTTTTACGAGCTTTAGACAGTGGTTTAGAAAGTAACTAGAATTTAAGCTTATTCTTCCGATCTGCTTCTTCTTATTTTTCTACTATAAACAGGTTGTACGCTCATTTGAAATTGAGCTGTTAAATTGTTTTAGACAACAACTATGCAGCAAAGTTCTTGTAATGAACACTTCAGTTTATGCTCCATAATCATTTTTTATTAATACCGTCCTACATGTCCTGGATTCCATGCGGTTGATTCTGGATTTCAGTCCTTAAGCTGTATTTTTTGGATTCTAAGGCCAAGGATTCGGGATTCCCCTTACATGGGGCGAGTTTTTAACAACCCAGTGATTTCACTGTTTTGGATGCATGCCCTCATGGTTTTGAAACTTAATCCTTAAACACCTTTCCATCTAATAGGTACCGTATTTCTTACAGTTGAGAACTTCTCTTTTCGTTTTTAGCTTGTAACAAGCACCTTTCATCTGTGCTCTGTATCAGATTTTTATTTCACATTGTTGCAAAACCAAATAACTACTTTTTTTGTCACCTACCTGACTATGAAAACTCATCAACTAATGAAGTTAAATACGTTTTATGAACTGTAATAAAGACTTCTGTAAAAATGCCTGTGCCTTGATGGCCAAGCTGAATCAAGCACTCAGTATATAGCATTCATATCATGCCAGTTCATCTGACAAAAAGATTGTGGTTATTTGAAGACTACTGAATGTGAGTATCTCCACATTTTTTAAGTTAAGAAGACCATCATCAATCAGCATCCAATTTATTTTGTCTAGTTTTATGTGAGATATTAGCTAAAAAAATAATTAGACGCATTTACGCTGTATTAGCCAACAAAATAATAAGATGTATTTACCTGTGTTCCTGTTTCTTTACGAGTAATTTTGGAAGGGATTTAAATCAGATTAGAAATGGCAAACATTGCTAGCAAGATGAATTTCCAGTATCAAATGGTTGTTTGCCTGGTGCTTCATAAATAGGATGCAATGTCAGTTACATATCAAGTTCCCAATATTGTTAACTATTAACTCTCCTTGGTAAAAAGGAGAAGAGAGAAAAGAGACAATTATTAAGGGGATTAAATAAGGGCAATTTTATTTTGAGGCATAGAATTCCTTTGTTACTAGACAAAATCGGCTAGTATCCCACACCTCTATTGATTATTTAAAGGTTCAATTATACGGTGTTGTTTTGACGCCCATTTTTTTCTTAGAATTGTGTTGTTTTTAGAGGCTACTTTTCGTCCAGTCTGTGACTACACTTGACTTGATCAGAAGTAAGTTGTCGTATTAAACATGTGCTTTGTCAGGATGGTTCTATGTTCTCATGACAGTCACTTTTGTTTGGATTTGACACCTTTAGATGTGTTGGAAGTAGAAAAACAGACCATACCACGTGGAATGCATGAGATACATTTTACCACTTATGTTGTGTTGCTCTGTAGTAAATTTTAATGTTTTAGACCAATTTTTCACTGATGAAAAGGAAAAATGTCCAATAACACTGTGACAAGGATCGCTTGGTAAAAATTTCTTGGTAAAATATATGCAATGATTCTGATAATAATTTCCGTTCTCTTATATATATCTGGACGCTGAATTTGAGGAAAATATCCGAAAAAATATAATTCGACTTCCAAGTGATTTTAAAACAACATTGCAATTACCATGCATGAAAAGGAGATTAATTCATGTCAAGAGTGCCTGAGATTGCAGTCAAAGGCTGCCGGTTCCAGTTTCCAAGCGCATTTCCATGAGTAGGACTGGTCAAGTCTACTGGAGTCACATATCGTACAAGCACCGCTACAGTCGAGTTTCATCTCTTGTCTCTTTCTCTTCTCGTGGCTGTTAAATTGAAACCCCTTATACAAACAGACATTTAATATTGGCAATGTTAACCATCTCCTGATCCGATTCAAATTCCTTCTAATTTAAAACACACAGGATAACTGTTAGCTAAATACATACTATTTTATTAGGTAATACACGTACAGCTTAAATGCAATTGCGTTGAGGTTCTATTTGACTTGGGAACAGAAATCAGACTTCAACATTGTATTTTTTTCTGGGGGGTGGGGGGGGGGGGGTTGGCAACATACAGCTGGCAGGTAAACTCCTCCCATTTCAGAGTTTTTTCCACAGGTTCTGACCATGAAAAAAGGCCTGTTCACAGGTTTTGAGATTTTCCACCCCGTGATAATTCACACCCTGTGAAAAAGGTGTGAAAACCATGTGAGAAAACATGTGAAATTGAACAGTTCACATGTTTTTTCACAGTTTGATTCACAGGTTTTTCATAGCATTTTCACATGTTTTTATCCAATAGTGATATAAAAAATTGTTATAAGGGGTAAATAAGCCATTTTTCCCTCGTGCCATTGAATCAGTTAGAAAACTCTGAGTGTCTTTAAAGTTAAATGTTTTGCAATGAAACCAAATTTGGCGCCAGAACTCGTACCCAGGATCTTTGACCTTTTCTCATCTTGGAAACCGCGCTAAAATTTCTCATATGAACCCAAGGCAAAATTCATCCCGGTAACCGAGCCAGCCCGGTCAACCGGGCTCATATGAAGAGGCCCTGAGAGCGCTTTTTCAACCTTATTCGATGGCCGAAATTCGGTGATTTTAAAAGCCGCGCTTCTTCGTAACGGATAAATATCGCTAAATTCTACTTAGTACAATGGATTTAGCTGCAGTTGGCTTGTCCTGTGACGGAATATGGAATAATTTGACGTAAAATTAAATTAAATTAATAAAAGCAAACACAACCCCCTTTGCGTTTTTTTTTTCCCTCTTGACAAAATTCTTCCAAAGTAAAAGCTAAAATCTCCAAAGCGGTACAAAAATCACAGGTAAAATGCACTTCACAGCAAAGATCTTACCTAATTCTGTTAGAAAATAAAGTCAAAGGTGCGGGTATCGTTCTGGGTTGGACGTGATCAAACGTTTTTAAGAGCCTCTGTTCGGCATTATTTGCATAGATTTGCCCGCTTAACGGTTCACACACAACGACTTTAATTTAGTAGATATTATCTCGGTAGCTGAGAATGTTGTTGTGTATCCTCAAAATAACGAAAATGTGTTTTCTTTTCATTAGCCTTTTTAAGTTTGTATCAGTGAAAGCCGAAAAAATACCATAAACTGACATTCTTGATCAACCCGTCGGATATGCAAATCCTGCTTGTTTACAGACAGGTTGTCCATTTCAGCTATGTTAAAATCTCAAACTACGTACGGTTATTAACTTCTTGTCAAATGTAATCAATCTTCAGCTTGGAAACTCAGCAACTGGATACCCTTTTTAAAATAGAAATTTATCTCATATTCCATTTGAGTTTCTTTTTCCGTTTCGAGTATTTGACATCATGATTTCTAATTTGAATTCCCACATCCGTGTTTATCCTTCATTTATCATGAACATGTCGGATTCTCTCACCTCGGGTGACTTTTCTCGTGTATCTCTTGAGAAATTATTATGAATCACTTTAAGAGCCTCTGTTCGGCATTATTTGCATAGATTTGCCCGCTTAACGGTTCACACACAACGACTTTAATTTAGTAGATATTATCTCGGTAGCTGAGAATGTTGTTGTGTATCCTCAAAATAACGAAAATGTGTTTTCTTTTCATTAGCCTTTTTAAGTTTGTATCAGTGAAAGCCGAAAAAATACCATAAACTGACATTCTTGATCAACCCGTCGGATATGCAAATCCTGCTTGTTTACAGACAGGTTGTCCATTTCAGCTATGTTAAAATCTCAAACTACGTACGGTTATTAACTTCTTGTCAAATGTAATCAATCTTCAGCTTGGAAACTCAGCAACTGGATACCCTTTTTAAAATAGAAATTTATCTCATATTCCATTTGAGTTTCTTTTTCCGTTTCGAGTATTTGACATCATGATTTCTAATTTGAATTCCCACATCCGTGTTTATCCTTCATTTATCATGAACATGTCGGATTCTCTCACCTCGGGTGACTTTTCTCGTGTATCTCTTGAGAAATTATTATGAATCACTTTAAGTTTGGTGAAGGGTATGTCTGTTGTAATATTTTTCCGAGTGCAGGTAATATTGAACGTTTGTCCCACACGCCTTCAGTCATATGCTAATTTGCATTTTTGTCACGCAATATACCTCGTGTATCGATCCCTTTCTTTCCATAAACAAATAAAGGGTGAACCATTACCTTATTAATAGGGGTGGGGAGAGGACGAGTACACCGAGATTAGGGCTGGAAGGATAATATATATTATACATACAACGAAGTGCCAGAGTGGTGTCCTCATCGATAGTGCTCAAAAACTTATAATTAAGGTGATTTCAAAAACTTATAAGGCGCAAATATCTATATATTAAATATATTCAAGTGCTCAATAGTTAACCTAGAGCAGAGTAGAAGTAGACTGATGAAACTGGATTAAATCTTGAACATTTTGTTGCTACCCAGAGTTTCAGTTCAGTCACAGTTTGCGAGGCAATCATCAGGCAACTACCAAAATTAACGGTTACAATCAAAGATATAGGTAAAACAGAACAGTAAATACTAGGCGTGGCTCGTGGCGCGTGGCGCGTGGCGCGTGGCGCGTGGCGCGTGGCGCGTGGCGCGTGGCTCGTCGCGCTGTTTATAATTTGTAAACCTGTAATGTCTACCCTGGACAACAGAAATGAACTAATCGCAGGTTGCAGGCACTCAAAGAAATTTCTACTAAACACTGTCCTAACTTGGTTAGTTCTTGTCGCAAATTTGACATGCTGTAAGCATCACTTAAGTACGACGCACCACGCACCTACGCCACGCCTGGCATTTATTGTTTTGTTTTACCTGATGATTCGCCTCGCAAGAGGCATGAATCTCTGAGTAGCAATAAATGTTTAAGATATAATCCAGTCCCATCAGTCTACTTCTATTATATACAAACATATATACAGCTTTATCAAGAAGCTAAAATCAATGCAGCCCCCTAATAAATTTTTAGTCTTCCTCAAGCTACAGAAAATTCTGGGCAATTTTGCTTCTCCGAACAGATATTTCACAGAAAAGAGTCGTTGGGTGCCGCTGATATGCATTGGTGACTTTTTTTACGTTATTTATGTTTTATTGCCAAAAAGTGAAGTGTCACATAATGATCTTAACTCATATCTATAAGAAAAAATTCTATTAATGAAAAAAAAACTGTCCTGCGAACAACTTTTATCCTTTTGGGGCCCAGTTGTTCAATAGGTGGCCATGGATAGCGCTATCCACCGTGTAAATCACTATCCACTGGATAGAGCAAATGGTTTCCCTAATACTTATCAATTGGACAGAGATTCATCCGATGGATAGCCTAGCCCTACCCAACTTTTGAACAACTGGGGCCTGCTTTTTTACTTGTATTGTAAATAAAGTACTGAACGAAAAAGCAGGTCACATACTTTTAAAGGTTGATGTCAAGTTATAAGTTATTTGAGATTTATCGTCTTATACAAGCATACAACATACCTTGAAATTTAAGAGAAAACACTTCCACGAACTCGGCCTAGAAAGAATAGGAATTTTCTAGGCAACTTCGGCCCACCCCAATGTAATGGGGCAATTTGCCAGTCCTTGGCCATTTACGGGGTGGTGCGGCAGTAACTGCATTCTTTCACCATGTCTGTTATTGTGTTTATTAGAGCAGCCTTTGTATCTCAAGATTTGAACAACAGTTCAAAATATTCGCAGATGTTTTCACATTGAATTTCGAGAGTACGTCTTGGTTGGTCTGCTCGCAGATATCATGGCCATGGTGCCTGATGGGATGTATAACGTCCATCTTGTTGAAAATATGTTAGACCTCCTTGTCTCTACGTTCATCAATAAGAAACGCAATTTCTTCTTGCAAGAGCACTGAGAGCAGATCTCCTTCGTCACAAATTTCAACATTCCCGGCTCTGGTCAGCCCTTTTTTTCCTGCTGATTGCAGACAGTCTGGAAAAGAATGATTGAACTTGTCCCTTTGTAAGCCATTCGTCTCTGGAACGTTCTTGAACTACCTGTGTTTCTGGACGTTCTCATGTCCGTTGCGACCTCAGAAAGATCTGGTTTCCTGCCTGTTTCTGTATCAACATCAAATCGTGCGGTGAGGTAAGACTTGACTTTCTCGCTAAACCTTGTCCCGCCTCCCCTTAACTTCTGCAGCCACCCATCCACTAGCCTCGAATTTGCAGACACCACTAGGAGATTTGTTGGAAGTTTCTCGGTTGGCGGCAATTTTTACAGTCTGACCTCGACACTCTGCCACGTTTCAGCACAAGTGTGTTTTCCCTTATGGTCCGGATATCGGCATTCTGTGCGGCCCGTTGGATTACCCCAGTCCTTCCCTAGGTTCGCACGATGTATCGGACATACAAACATTTTTTCACCTTGTTGGGCAGTTTTACCAAAATACCCAGCCGGCTGCAAAGTAAGTTCGCTCTCTGTAATATTTTCTTTCGTTAAGCGACATCGCCTCGAATCGAGCTGTAATAACGCTCACCTGTTACATTGACTAAGAGGCACCAACTTGCTTTCTCCTTTAAACTCTCCAAATCCGCTTTCATTACGTGACAACAATCCTAATTAGCATATGACCATGAAGAAAACCCAAAAGGAAATTGAGCTGAATTCAGTCTTTATTAAAGAACCTTTTAGTTGCTGCGACTCCAAACTCAAAACGGGCTTCGTTTGACCAGAAGTGAATTGTATTCTTTACGACTTGGAATATTGCTGAAATCGACAACCCCGCGGTAAATGAGCTTTTAAATTTGCATAATATACCAGTAGATGAAGAATTCCTACATGATCCTACATGTATTTTATGACATTTTATGCCGGTTTACAGGCCTAAGATGGCTTACAAAACAACAAATGTACGTTATTTTGACGAAGCATACCAAGATTCTGCCCCGTGGGAAAAATATTAGCCTTATCATATGAGTATAAGTGTAGGCGCCAAACGTACAGTTTTAGGTAAATATTGACAAAAGGAGCTCTCAAAAACGCTTGTTCGCGTCCCACACAGAATGATACCCGCACCGTTGAGTTTATTTTCTAACAGAAGAAGGTAAGATCTTTGCTGTGAAGTGCATTTTGCCTGTGATTTTTGTACCGCTTTGGAGATTTTAGCTTTTACTTTGGAGGAATTTGTCAAGGGAGAAAAAAGAACATAAAGTGGCTAGTCTTTGATCTTATTAATTTAATTTAATTTTGCTTCAAATTATCCAAGATTCCGTTATAGGACAAGTCAAATGCAGCTAAATCCATTGTACTATGTAGAATTTCGCGATATTTATCCGTCACGAAGAAGCGCGGCTTTTAAAATTGCTGAATTTTGGCTATTGAATAAAGTTGAAAAAGCGCTCTCAGACAGGAAGGAGGTTTTGTGCTGTAGCGAGGCCCAGAAAAAGATTTTGAAAAAAATTAGCTCGATTTTAATCATTCCTCATTAAGTCCTTTTCACCCACAAAAAATAAAGGGAAGGTTTACTGGCGATCCCAAACTCGCCGGACCGCTCTTAGGTGGACAGCCACTTAACTAGAATTCGCTTGTATTCTCTTTTGAACTTATGGTAGCTAAGTGTTTTTATCTTAGTAGGAATCTCTTCCCAAGTGTTAGTTATTGCAAACGTTTGTGAGGGGAGTGGAAAGCAGATTGCTGGCAATCTTGATAGACAGTTAGGGATATCTATAGTGGCTTTGTGCCTATCAAGGCCAGATAGTGCTAACTCAGCTTGCGCTGAATCCACTGGGGAAAGAAAAAAAACTAGAACTACGATTTACTGGGGAGAAAGCATTAGGTATTATTGCTGGTTTTCAGTGCCACGTCATTCAAACTAGATGAAAATAAAAATCGAAACCGTTCAATAGATAAAGTCCGGAATCTGGGAAATAAAAGGAGGTAAATATACAAAGACCCCCGCCAAGATTCAGGCCAGAAGAATATTTCGTACACGAGATATCTAGAGAAATGTTTTACGCAAATTTATAGAGATTTGTATGGAGACGCCATGCCGGTGGCCACCTGGATGAGCACCAAGATGGCGGACGGAAACCAACAAATACATCTGTTACCGAGTTTTGGTACAAAAGCGTGAATTTATTCCTCGAGGAATTCATAAACATTAATGTAATACTTTTTCTAATTACATGACCAGTTTAGACAGCAAAATTACCCGAAATACGTCATTTTTTTAACCTACAAGACAGCTCTCTCTCGGCCGTCATGCAAATGCCACGTTACGCAGTAGCTTAGAAATTCAAGCGTACTCTATCACAAAACCAAGAACCCTTTTGAAGCGAAAATTTGTATGAAAATTATTTTTCAGCTGCTCTAATACATCATGAAAGTAAAATCTCAGTAAGATCGATAGTTTTGTAGTTTGAATTTTAGTAACGTCATGTGAAAATCAACATTACTTGAGTGAATTGTAGATGCCAAATTTGGACCAATGCAAGCGATTGTCTACAGCATAAGTTTGGGGCTAACTGCTTGAACGGCAGAAATCTTGATGTGAGAACAGATGACGTTCAACTTGATTCTGTAGCCGATACTAAATTACTTGGCATAAAGACAGACAACTGTTTTTAAACAACGTATCGAATATAGGAAAGCGACTTGGCCTTTTGAAAAGAACAGATAAATTTCTGTGACTGAAAGCTGAGAACTTTGTTTTACAAGTCACTTAATATCCAGCTAATACTTGACTACGGGGGTTATAGTCTGGAGGACATGAAGCAAACAAGCCGCACATCCAAGATTTCAATTCAATTCAATTTCATTATTCACACTTTATAAAATGTTTACCTTATATATAGTAAGGTAGGAATAAACTAATAAAGGAGAAGAAGAAGGAAAAAAAGGAAAATTAATGGCTTGGGTAGAAGTGTACGGTGGTCAGAGGAGCTTAGCTTTCGAGCTAACCACCGCTATATTATGATTGGAAATACACAATAAACGTGCGCTTGGTGCCATGGAAAACTATGGACGATTATGCCAACAGTCAGGTTATGTCAGACAGTCATATTACAATTTTTACCTTTTAGAGTTAACTAGAATTCGCTTATATTCTTTTTGGAAGTTATGGTAGCTAAGTGTTTTTACCTTAGTAGGAATCTCTTCCAAAGTTTTGGTTATGGGAAACTTAAATGTGTGTTTGCCGTAATTTGACTTTACACGTGGTACATGAAAGTTAAGATTTGAGGCATATCTGGTATTGTATGAGTGAATATCAGACACCTTTACGAGGCAGTTTTGAAACACTTCAGGGATATTGGCTTCATTTTGTGAGATTTTGTGAGCTCTATGTTAAATATATCTAGAAGTTTGAGGTAGGGTGCACAACTTTCTCTATTATGGCTAAAAAATATGCAGCGAATACATTTATTTTGTTTAGTCTGAACTTTAGTTAATCTACTTGGGTATGTGTTTCCCCAACTCATAATTCCATAGTGAAGGAAGGGGTAGATAAGTGAGTAATATATTTGTTTGAGGGTGTTTAAAGTTAAGAAATGGCGTAATATGAAAAGGATTCCCAAGTTTTTAGATTTTTGCTGTTTATGTGCTGAATGTGGGGAGCCCAATTTAGATTGTTGTCAATGTAGATACCTAGGTATTTTATGTAGCTCTTTTCGTCAACATTACGTAAATTAAGCTTAAGTTTATTTGCTTTTTGGGGGGAGGAAATTGTCATATAGTGGGTTTTCTTAAAGTTTACAGAAAGTTTATTAGCTGAGCAGTAGCTAGACTTAATCAATTTACAGAAACGATGCGCCAGAGTAATGCGAGACAAAAAATGAGACACCCCCTCGGGGTCTTTAATTTATTTAGAGACCTTAAAGGGGCTGTGTCACGATAGTACGCATGTGTCAGCTTTGACAGCAACTGATTGTTTTTGAATCCTCGGAAGCGAGTAAGATGCACGCAAGGAAATTTACATAATTCAAGATTCATTGTTCGCGAAGCGAGAGTCGTTTTTGTCCGATTTTATAAATCCCCATAATTCATATTTATTGTCTGGTATTCTTCAGACATATATATGTGGCAGCCGATAAAAATAAGATTAACAACCCTGTCCTGCTTTGAAACAAACATTTACCTACGCGTATTTTCACGTACCCACGCTAGCAAACCAGTCTCCGATCGGTAACCAAAACTAATTTGTAAACAAACCTTACTGATCTCTCTGTTTTCCCTATATAAACTTAGAATTACACCAAGAAAAGTAGCTTCCTTAACACGATCAATCGAATAATTACTAATATTAAAAGCTAGATCAAGTGTTTGCCTGTTTTGTCTCGGTCTGAATATGATAAAATTAGATTTCTTAACATTAATAGATAGCTTATTTGTATAAAACCAACACGTTATCTTTTTCAATTCTAAATTTGCTACTTCCATAAGATAGGAAGCATCAGTATGCGAATAGAAGATATTCGTGTTTCTGTCCCATGATCGACCGCCAAGTAGGCATGTAAGCAAATCCATGGCACTGTTACAAAACCGTAAATCACTGTTCCAAGTCTTAAGGGCGATATCCTGACCCTGGTCTTTCCCTAGTGATCCTCGGCCTGATTAACGCACACCATGATCGAATTTGAATGTAGCTCATTTAAAGAGGTCCAATTTCACTGCAGTTGGTGAGTATAGTTGAAAATATGGTTGAATTTAGGAACAAGTACAGCACCGGCAAATAATGTAAGTCCGAACTGAATCGTGTATTGTTTATGAACTACTAATGCTCCGTTATAGATCGTTTTCACTGTCACACAACAAATAATTAAATTGGAAACCGTCCAGTGGAAGAAGCCAAGAAAATGACATGCTATAAAAGACTAATATATAAACATTTTGTCCAAGTCTCAGGTCTTTGTGGCCTACAGTTTCTAAGTTATTAGCCGAAACGTTTCACGCACCTTTGTAGAGCTTTGTATAGCATTCCTATTTTGGTGTCACGCACAGTGAAAACTCGGAAGTTCAAATTGCTGTATTTTCCAAATGAAACATGCTACGGAAATGGAAACCTGTACAAAGACTTACTTTTTGTTTATCTTCAACCTAGTGGAAATAAGAATTCGTGAAACCTCGCTATTTTGACTTTACAATTTGTTGACGTCACAGTGAAAACCATCTATAGGGGACAGTTTTAACACGCGGCCAATGTTAAATTCCCTGCCAAGTCGCGGGGGTCGGGGGGCCGGAGTTTCAATTAACTGATGTATTATACCCTCAATGAAAATGAAAGTTAAATCACATGAAATTTTATCTTTTACTTTGACAAGTAATGTCTTTAAATGGTTTGTTTACAGTGCCTTGCTTGCCTGCGAGAACGTGAAGTTTTTTTTAAACCAAAAAAAGTTTTCTTGGAAACGCTGCCTCCAGTGGTGTGATATTTCAATTTATGCAGTTGCTAACGACGAGTACAAGAAACAGCCATGTCTTCCTTCCGATGTTTTACATGTGTCATCTTGGTGGGATGTATTGCTAGCAGTCTTATATATCTGCACATTACCCTTTCCTGGAGAAAGGGTTTTGGCAAAGAACTTCCAGCAGTATACGAGAATGGATCAAAGGTGGATTCGTTAGGTGTCATTCAGAAGCATTTTGTTTATCTTCTACAAACGGAGCAATGTCTTCCTTCACACCTTGCAGAATCGATTGGTGTCGCTGAAAATTGCAGTTGTGATATCATAGTGTTAAGCTATCAAGCAAAGTGCGACAAATCAATAATTCCATCTCATACATCCTACATATTTTATCCACAAACTACTTGGGGATCAGGAAGAAATGCGCTCTACTTTACGGCCTTAAACAGAAGACTACCCTACCGTTACTACATATTTTTAGATGATGACGTCACCTTTAGCTTCAATAAAATGACTCCGCCTGATTTGAGAAAAACTCAACCGCTACGAGTCGTGCAAGACTGGCTTTTAGAATATGAACCAGCGCTTGGTGTTTTAGACTATGCAGTGCATCATGGTGCCGAGTGGACTTTACAAAGAAGAAGAGAGTTGTGTGGAATTCACGACACACCACTAGTGATGCCAGTGGTTTGGTTCGATGCTCTTTTCCATGCTTTCCACCATAAGGCTGTCGCTCATATTTTGCCATACAACATGAAGTATGAAAAGGAAAGTTGGACGGTGTCAGCTTTGCATATCATGGCCGTTGTTGGGTTGAAATTCCGCGGCCAAGCACTTCTGTTTGCAGCCGTGACTGCTGGAAACCCGAAACATCGCAATTATCCTCGTTCTGGTGAACTTTTTGATGAGGGATGGCGAAGCTTTGTTGAGGAAATCCAACGTGAAGTGCCGACAGCTTATCAAAACAACATCGTATTAGAAGAGTATAAAGAAAACTTAGTTCAACATTCTTTGAACTCGTCAACTTACTGTATAAATGCCACCCGTCACCATCCAATTGTGCCATATGCATATTTAGCCCGTGAAAGCTTAAAGCACAAGGTAATCCTTGATTAATCTTCTTAATGAAACTGTTCTAAAAACTCAGTGAAATGAAAGCAGTTTATTAACGTGTTAGGAATGTAGCCACATCTCGGGTTGGAAACACCACTGAATTAGGTTTAGTTATACGTGATTGCTCGTTTGCATTAACTCAGTTCAATACTGAATATTTCACTTTTAAAAGGGTGCGCTTCGCCCTCTTGTGTCTCTTGAATAAGTTCCCCATCTAGCCTTAATGGTCGATTGTTCTGTTTATTCGTCCCAAAATCTTACATTGTTACGGTGCATGTAACTACATGTATCATAGAACAGGAGTTCCTTACAAAGCCTACTGGGCTTACTCTAGGATGACCACTGGCGGTGTTTATATAATGTATTTATTATTTATTACAATTTTTGGTCCACTTTCCGTCAGCCCGAATTGCAAGCAGTTTTTAATTTTTTTTTTCTTTTATTGTGTATACTATGATAGCAAACTTTTAACAATATCAGAATACTGTTAGTGTATTTCCTTTGATGCAAACTCTTCTTGGTTGTTAAAGTGTTTCTGTTTTATTTTTTTCTTTCTCGTTCATTCAGTTTACCAAGCACCGAAATACATTAATGGCAGAAGACTGATTTTAATCAGTACAACACCACCGATGGAAATCGAGTATACCTACAGTATACTACTACATGAGAAATTTCTGCAATTTGATTGGCTTAGAGCAGTGGTATTTCAGCTTAATTTGAAATACCTACATGTGAAAATTACAAATCTTTGCTGGTAGTAGTATAAACAAATAATAGCATGATTTGTATGTGATATTTGGCATAAACACCACTTGTGATATTTCAAAATTGTCTCAAATTTCACTCGCCTAACGGCTCGTGAAATTTTGTATAGCAATTTCGAAATATCACGCGTGATATTTATGCCAAATATCACTACATATCATGCTATTACCTATACTTATACTACTACATGAAAAATTTCTGTAATTTGATTGGCTTAGAGCAGTGGTATTTTAGTTTAATTTGAAATACCTACATGTTAAAATTACAAAATCTTGGTGGGTAGTAGTATAAACAAATAATAGCATGATTTGTACGTGATATTTGGCATAAATACCACTCGTGATATTTCGAAATTGTCCAAAATTTCACTCGCCTAACGGCTCGTGAAATTACGTATAACAATTTGGAAACATCACTCGTGGTATTTATACCAAATATCACTACAAATCATGCTATTACCTATACTAATATTAGTTGTATTTATGTATTTCAAATTAATTTGACAACTTTTTAATTTAGTTTAATATTTACTTATCTTTATTCGTACCTGTGTGGACAATACCAACCGTTCGAGACCGTTTTACGAATCATGTAAGGACGAAAATATTGAACCAAGAACAAGCTTTAATCCTTATTTGTTCTCATAATTTTGGAGTGCAAGAGCTTTTAAAGATAACCTGATAGAAAGGCGTTGAATGAAAGAGAAAAATAAAGCGATTTGATATGAACGTTTGCAAATAAAGGTACGTTTTCATGGTAACACATCGTTTGTGCGATGTTTTAATTTTTAATGACAAGTTACAACTTGAAGTTCTTAAAAGCATGTAATTTCTCAGTCACTCTCCTTGTGCCGTCTTGTTGCAGTGTTAGTAGGTTAGGGCCAGTGGCATAAATCTTAACGCAAGGCGTAAATTCTAAGTGGTATATCAGGAGTTTGATCAATAAAGTTATCAATATTTAGACGCTGTATCTGATTCCGAAATTTTCTTCCAAACCTTCCCTACATTTTTGTCTGAAATTTAGGGGAAATTTTCCGTCCGAACATTTTCGTAGTTGAAGCACACGGGTTTTTAGAATTTCAACATATGGTGATTTACATTCAGCTATTTCGAGAAAGGTTGTCGGAAAAAGTGCACGCGACAATCCCGAAAGGTAGGGTGGCTTTTAGTTCACTGTTTTTCAAAGAAATTTCAAACAATGGCAAGAGAGGCCATGGACGTATGTTTGCGAGTGCTAAAGAAAGCAATAAAAGTAGGTTCGACAGCTACAGTATCAGGAACAGTGTATTGAGCATATCCCATATTACCTTTCGGGATTGTCGCGTGCACAGTTTTTCCGACAACCTTTCTAGAAATAGCTGTATATTCAAGGTTATCAAACGTCATCTCCCCGGAGGCTCATTGTCACGCGGATGATACTCAGCTATACGTGAGTTTCAAGCCCGATGATGCTAACGCCCAGGATGAGGCCATTCGCGCAATGGAGGATTGCATTTAAGATGCAACGAACTGGCTTATTGAAGGACGGCTGTTACTCAATGATGATAAAACTAAATTTCTAGTTATTAGAACTCGTCAGCAGTAAAATAAATTAAATCCATCAGTACATTATGTGGTCCTTGGTCCGCGACTGAAAGTCATGATCTTGAGTATCTTACCTGAATCAAACTGTAACGAGCTGAAATACTCTCTGAAGATAGCTTTTATGTTCCTCTCGATAATCCTGAAGTTTCAAGTTCCAGACATAAATATTTTGCTTGTAATTCGAAAAAAGGCCACCGTTTTCCATGGTCCTTGGTCCGCGAATGTGCTCCTTGTTCCGCGACAAGGGTAAGCAGCGCGAAAAAAACCTAAAAATGTGATGGTTTCCACGCGAAAACGTGATTTTCACAATATTTCATGTATTTTTTTTCTTTTCTTGATGCAATTAAGCTAAAGTTTTTTTCGGAAGATGTTGTGAGTATAAAATAATCTGCTTTTCTTTTACGTGCGAAAAGAGTTAAATTCCCAGGGTTCTCTTGGTACTCCAACACGGCCGCCGTTTCATTGTTTTGGAACACCAATATGGCCGCCTTGACGTCATGTGAATACGCTCTGTTGAGTATAGTGAGTATCTTCTTTGATACGCAAACGCCTTTTTAACACTTCGGCGAAAACGGAAGGGTGCTTATTAACTTAGGGCGCTTTCCATTCCGCTTCAGAACTGACCGGCTATACCATTCCTGCCGTATGTAATACGAATTTCACTTGTAATCAAATCCATCCGGCCATTTCAGTCAAATTCTAAATAGTATGCAAGAAGGAAATGGTCATTATACTTTTCTGGGGGACACTTCCCACCTACCCATCCCCTAACCCAACTTTTTGCCCTAAGTGAGAAATAAGTGTTAATGTTGGCTTAGGGGAGGAGTAGGTGGGCAGTTTCCCAGAAACGTATGATGATTGGCCAAAGCACATTTCATTTTCATTTCAAATGGAAAGAACCTTTAGTTTTCTTGACCGAACTGAAACTCGATTTTATCTAGACAAGGGACAAAATTTCAAAGGAAATCTTTGCCATTCACAGCAAGCGGTAGCGAATGAGTTTAAGCGACAGCAGATGCAATTTTGCGACAACGAATACAGCTTAGCGAATATTGAAACATTCGGACGAACATTTATTTCTTGTTTTTCCACGGTAGGAAGGTCATCTCATATTTCACTGGCTAGAGAAATGTTTCTTTGAAAACATCGCCTTTTTTACGTTGACATGTACGCATAAATTATGTCGTTTCTGTCCCATGATCTGCCGCCATGTAAGCATGTAAGCAGTTCCATGGCAATGTCACAAAACCGTAAGTCACTGTCCAGGTCTTAAGGGTGATATTCTGACCCTGGTCTTTTCCTAGCGATCGTCGGCCTGATTAACGCACACCATGATCGAATTTGAATGTAGCTCATTTAAAGAGGTCCAATTTCACTGCAGTTGGTGAGTATAGCTGAAAATATGGTTGAATTTAGGAACAAGTACAGCAACGGCAAACAATGTAAGTCCGAACTGAATCGTGTCTATTGTTTATGAACTACTAATGCCCCGTTATACAGGACTTTTAATAAACTGTTTGGCCCGGGGAGCCTGGAAATTAGCGGAGTTTTAACACGCGGCCAATGTTAAATTCCCTGCCAAGTCGTGGGGGTCAGGGGGCTAGAGTTTCAATAAACTGATGTATTAAACTCTCAATGAAAATGGAAGTTAAATCACATGAAATTTTGTCTTTTTCTTTGACAAGTAAATGTCTTTAAATGGTTTGTTTACAGTGCCTTGCTTGCCTGCTAGGAACATGAAGTTTCTTAAACGAAAAAACGTTTTCGTGGAAACGCTGCCTCCAGTGGTGTGAAATTTCAATTCACGCAGTTGCTAATGACGAGTACAAGAAACAGCCATGTTTTCCTTCCGATGTTCTACATATGTCGTCTTGGTGGGATGTACTCTTATTGCTAGCAATCTCATATATATGCACATTACCCTTTACAGTAGAAAGGGTTTTGGCAAGGAAGTTCCAGCAGTATACGAGAAAGGATCAAAGGCGGATTCGTTAGGTGTGATTCAGAAGCAATTTGTTTACCTTGTACAAACGGAACAATGTCTTCCTTCACACCTTGCAGAATCGATTGATCTCGCTGAAAATTGCAATTGTGACATCATAGTGTTAAGCTTTCAAGCGAAGTGCATTAAATCAATAATTCCATCTCATACATCATACATATTTTATCCACAAACTACTTGGGGATCAGGAAGAAATGCGCTCTACTTTACGGCCTTAAACAGAAGACTACCCTACGGTTATTACATATTTTTAGATGATGACGTCACCTTTAGCTTCAATAAAATGACTCCGCCTGATTTGAGAAAAACTCAACCGCTACGAGTCGTGCAAGACTGGCTTTTAGAATATGAACCAGTGCTTGGTGTTTTAGACTATGCAGTGCATCATGGTGCCGAGTGGACTTTACGAAGAAGAAGACAGTTGTGTGGAATTCACGACACATCACTAGTAATTCCAGTGGTTTGGTTCGATGCTTTTTCCATGCTTTCCACCATAAGGCTGTCGCTCACATTTTGCCATACAACAGCAAGTATGAAAAGGAAAGTTGGTGAGTGTCAGCTTTGCATATCATGGCCGTTGCTGGGTTGAAATTCCGCGGCCAAGCACTTCTGTTTGCAGCCGTGACTGTTGGAAACCCGAAACATCGCGAATATCCTCGTTCTACTGAACATTTTAATGCGAGATGGCGAAGCTTTATTGAGGAAATCCAACGTGAAGCGCAGACAGCTTATCGAAGCTGCATCATATTCGAAAAGCATAAAGAAGACTTTGCTCGATACACTTTGAAATCGTCAACTTACTGTATAAATGCCACCCGTCACCATCCAGGTGTGCCAAATGCATATTTAGACTGTGAAAGCTTAAAGCACAAGGTCATCCTCGATTAATCTTCTTAATAAAACTGTCCTAAAACTGAGTGAAATATCAGAAATAAAAGGAGTTCATTGACGTGCTAGGAAAATAGCCATATCTCGGAGAGGAAACACCACTGAATGAGGTTTAGTTATACGTGATCGCGCGTTTGCATTAACTCAGTTCAATACTAAATGTTTCATTTTTAAAAGGGTACGCCTCGCTCTCTTGAGTATCTTGATCTAGCCTTAATGGTCAATTTTTTATGTTTATTCGTCCCAAAATCTTACATTGTTACAGTGCATATAACTACATGTATCATACAACAGGAGTTCTTTACAAAGCCTACTGGGCTTACTCTAGGATGACCTCTGGCGGTGTTTATATAATGTATTTATTATTAATTACAATTTTTAATCCACTTTCCGTCGGCCAGAATTGCAAGCAGTTTTCCTTAATTTTTTTATCGTGTTCTAACAATGTTAACTGTTAGTGTATTTCCTTTGATGCAACTCTTCTTGGTTGTTAAAGTGTTTCTGTTTTATTTATCTCCTTTTTCGTCCATTCAGTTTACCAAGAACCGAAATATGTTAATAACAGAAGACTGATTTTAATTAGTACAACAACACTGACGGAAATCGAGCTTACCTACAATAATACTTGTTGTATTCATGTATTTCAGTTTAATTTGACAACTTTTTAATTTAGTTTAATATTTACTTATCTTTATTCGTTCCTCTGTGGACAATAACAACGGTTGACGAATCATGTAAAGAAGGAAATATTGAGCCAAGAACAAAGTTTAACCCTAATTTGTTCTCATAATTTTGGAGTGAAGGACCTTTTAAAAATAATCTGATAGAAAGGCGTTGAATGAAAGAGAAAAATAAAGCGATTTGATTCGAACGTTTGCAAAGAAAGGTACGTTTTCATGGTAACACTTCTTTTGTGCGATGTTTTAATTTTTAATGACAAGTTACTAGAAACAACTTGAAGTTCTTAAAAGTATGTAATTTCTCAATCACTCTCTGCTGTCTTGTTACAGTGTTAGTAGGTTAGGGCCAGTGGCATAAATTTTAACGCAAGGCGTAAATTCTAAGAGGTATATCAGGAGTTTGATCTATAAAGTTATCATTATTTAGACGCTGTATCTGATTCCAAAATTTTCTTCCAAATCGTCCCTACATTTTTGTCTGAAATTTAGGGGAAATTTTCCGCCCGAACATTTTCGTAGTTGAAGCACAAAGGTTGTTAGAATTTCAACGTATGGTGATTCGCATATGTTCAAGGTTATCGAACGTCATCTCCCCGGAGGCTCTCATTGTTCCGCGGATGATACCCAGCTATACGTGAGTTTCAAGCCCGATGATGCTAACGCCCAGGATGAGGCCATTCGCGCAATGGAGGATTGCATTTAGGATGCAACGAACTGGCTTATTGAAGGACGGCTGTTACTCAATGATGATAAAACTGAATTTCTAGTTATTAGAACTCGTCAGCAGTTAAATAAATTAAATCCATCCGGTACAGTATGTGGTCCTTGGTCCGCGACTAAAAGTCATGATCTTGAAGAAAAGTAACGAGCTGAAATACTCCTTGAAGATAGCTTTTACGTTCACCTCGATAATCCTGAAGTTTCAAGTTCCAGACATAAATATTTTGCTTGTAATTCGAAAAAAGACGACCGTTTTCGATGGTCCTTGGTCCGTGAATGTGCTCCTTGTTCCGCGACTCAGGTAAGGAGCGCGAAAAAAACGTAAAAATGTTATAGTTTCCACACGAAAACGTGATTTTCACAATATTTCATGTATTTTTTTTCTTTTCTTGATGCAATTAAGCTAAAGGTTTTTTTTGGAAGATGTTGTGAGTATAAAATAATCTGCTTTTCTTTCAAAGACTTCGGACAACAGTCTCCTCGAGTCTCCCACACTAGCGGCGAGCGGATTTCAGCGCGGACGAAACTTGTAGACATGTATAGGGACGATTTTGAAGACGTTCTTCGAAAACAAAGGCCGTCGCTTTTTATTTTGCGAAGTTTTATTCAACCAAGGTCATAGGTCGCGGACCTACGACGAAATATTTTATCATTTTCGAAAAAGTCGCGGACCGTGGGCATCGCGGACTTTCGCGAACCAAGGACCACATACTGTACTTCATGTAGGTGATCAGACGATTGATCCTTCGGTTAACGGAAAGAATTTGGGAACGATATTTGACAATTCAAATAGTATGGATACTCATATAAATCAAGTTTTTTTCTACCATATTCACAATATTCGTAGAATTTCTAAATACCTTTCACAGGAATCCCTTAACACATTTTTCCTCCAGACTAGATTATTGTAATAGCCTACTTTATGGCCTTCCCAAATATCATATAAGTAGACTACAACGAGTACAGGACGCTGCAGAACTTATTTAAGGGCAGCCAACATAGGTTTCATCATGTCCCAGGATCGTGGAAAGATGATTACAGTGAAAAAAATATATAAAACCGTTCCGGTGAGGCCTTAAACTGCTGTTTACTATTTTAAAACAGCAGTTTAAGGCCTCACTAGAATAGTTTTATGTTTTTTAATCATGCTGCTGAGGGACAACATCAAATCATAGGTCTCGTGGTGTCAGTGGTTTCATAGTTTCATGTGTTTCGTGGTTTCATAGGTTTAGTGGTGTCAATAGTTTCATGGTTTCATAGGTTTCGTGGTGTCAATCGTTTCATGGTTTCATAGGTTTCGTGGTGTCAATGGTTTCATGGTTTCAGAGGTTTCGTGGTGTCAATGGTTTCGTGGTTTCATAGGTTTCGTGGTGGCAATGGTTTCATAGTTTCACGGGTTTCGTGGTGTCAATGGTTTCATGGTTTTTTAGGTTTCGTGGTGTCAATGGTTTCATGGTTTCATAGGTTTCGTGGTGTCAGTGGTTTCATGGTTTCATAGGTTTCGTGGTGTCCATGGTTTCATGGTTTCATATGTTTCGTGGTGTCCATGGTTTCATGGTTTCGTAGGTTTCCTGGCGTCAATGGTTTCGTGTGTTTGGTGGTGACAATGGATACATGGTTTCATAGGTTTCGTAGTGTCAATGGTTTCATGGTTTCATAAGTTTCGTGGTGTCAAGAGTTTCATGGTTTCATAGGTTTCGTAGTGTCAATGGTTTCATGGTTTCATAGCTTACGTGGTGTCAATGGTTTCATGGTTTCATACGTTTCGTGGTGTCAATGGTTTCATGGTTTCTTAGGTTTCGTGGTGTCAATGGTTTCATGGTTTCATAGGTTTCGTGGTGTCCATGGTTTCATGGTTTCATAGGTTTCGTGGTGTCAATGGTTTCGTGGTTTCATAGGTTTCGTGGTGTCAATGGTTTCATGGTTTCTTAGGTTTCGTGGTGTCAATGGTTTCATGGTTTTATAGGTTTCGTGGTGTCAATGGTTTCATGGTTTCATAGGTTTCGTGGTGTCAGTGGTTTCATGGTTTCATAGGTTCGTGGTGTCCATGGTTTCATGGTTTCATAGGTTTCCTGGCGTCAATGGTTTCATGGTTTCACAAGTTTCGTGGTGTCAATGGTTTCGCGGTGTCAATAGTTTCATGGTTTCATAGGCTTCGTGGTGTCCATGGTTTCATGCTTTCATAAGTTTCGTGGTGTCAATAGTTTCATGGTTTCATAGGTTTCGTGGTGTCAATGGTTTCATGGTTTCATAGGTTTCGTGGTGTCAATTGTTTCATGGTTTCATAGGTCTTGTGGTTTCACAGGTTTCCTGGTGTCAATGGTTTCATAGTTTCATGTGTTTCGTTGTTTCATAGGTTTCTTGGTTTCTATGGTTTCATGGTTTCATAGGTTTCGTGGTGTCAATGGTTTCGTGGTTTCATAGGTTTCGTGGTGTCAATGGTTTCGTGGTTTCATAGGTTTCGTGGTGTCAATGGTTTCGTGGTTTTTTAGGTTTCGTGGTGTCAATGGTTTCGTGGTTTCATAGGTTTCGTGGTGTCAATGGTTTCATTGTTTCATAGGTTTCGTGGTGTCAATGGTTTCATGGTTTCATAGGTTTCGTGGTGTCAATGGTTTCGTGGTTTCATAGGTTTCGTGGTGTCAATGGTTTCATGGTTTCATAGGTTTCGTGGTTTCCATGGTTTCATGGTTTCATTGGTTTCGTGGTGCCAATGGTTTCATGGTTTCATAGGTTTCGTGGTGTCAATGGTTTCATGGTTTCATAGGTTTCGTGGTTTCATAGGTTTCCTGGTGTCAATGGTTTCATAGTTTCATGTGTTTCGTGGTTTCATAGGTTTCTTGGTTTCTGTGGTTTCATGGTTTCATAGGTTTCGTGGTGTCAATGGTTTCGTGGTTTTTTAGGTTTCGTGGTGTCAATGGTTTCATTGTCTCATAGGTTTCGTGGTGTCAATGGTTTCATGGTTTCATAGGTTTCGTGGTGTCAATGGTTTCGTGGTTTCATAGGTTTCGTGGTGTCAATGGTTTCACGGTTTCATAGGTCTCGTGGTTTCAATGGTTTCGTGGTTTCATAGGTTTCGTGGTGTCAATGGTTTCATGGTTTCATAGGTTTCGTGGTGTCAATGGTTTCGTGGTTTCATAGGTTTCGTGGTGTCAATGGTTTCATGGTTTCATAGGTTTCGTGGTTTCAATGGTTTCATGGTTTCATAGGTTTCGTGGTGTCAATGGTTTCATAGTTTCATGTGTTTCGTGGTTTCATAGGTTTCTTGGTTTCTATGGTTTCATGGTTTCATAGGTTTCGTGGTGTCAATGGTTTCATGGTTTCATAGGTTTCGTGGTGTCAATGGTCTCGTGGTTTTTTAGGTTTCGTGGTGTCAATGGTTTCACGGTTTCATAGGTCTCGTGGTTTCAATGGTTTCGTGGTTTTTTAGGTTTCGTGGTGTCAATGGTTTCGTGGTTTCATAGGTTTCGTGGTGTCAATGGTTTCGTGGTTTCATAGGTTTCGTGGTTTCAATGGTTTCATGGTTTCATAGGTTTCGTGGTGTCAATGGTTTCATGGTTTCATAGGTTTCGTGGTGTCAATGGTTTCATGTTTCCATAGGTTTCGTGGTTTCATAGGTTACCTGGTGTCAATGGTTTCATAGTTTCATGTGTTTCGTGGTTTCTATGGTTTCATGGTTTCATAGGTTTTGTGGTTTCAATGTTTTCATGGTTTGATAGGTTTCGTGGTGTCAAGGGTCTCATGGTTTCATAGGTTTCGTGGTGTCAATGATTTCGTGGTCTCATAGGTTTCCTGGTGTCAAAGGTCTCGTGGTTTCATGGGGTTCATGGTGTCAGAGGTTTCATGGTTTCATAGGCCTCTTGGTGTCAAGTAGCCTCCCCGCCGACGTCCTTTGGGGTTTGTTCGTCACACGTTCATTTCTCCCCCACGGACGTCTGCTAAACACAGCCGACATTTACGTTCACCGATCAGTAAGGATTTTTATCGGGTGTGCGAGAAATTTGTAATGAATGCAGAGTTAAACAAGTATCAGAGAGACGCTATCCTCAAATTTTAGAGAGAAGACCGACGAGTTCATAAATTTGCGGACGGGATTTGGCAAATCCCTTATCTATCAAGCTTTGCCGCTTGTTTGCGACACTGCTTGGAACTCCTGGACATTATTGTTGTTGTTTCACCCCTGGTAAATCTTATGAAAGATCAAGCTACAAAGCTGGAAAATATTTGTATTCCTGCTGTAGTGCTCAGTGATATGTATTTTTTAAATTCAATTTAATTTATTTAAAACACTTGCAATTACAAAGTACTTACTTACAATACTTACTTACAAACAATGTATGTTACTTACGCTACTAACAAAACTATACTCTACTTACAAAACAATACTTATTTACAATGTGAGATACTTACGCTACGAACAATACTATACTCTACTTACGATACAAAACTTGCAATACTTACTTACAATGAGATACTTACACTGCTAACAGTGCTATACTCCACGCTTTACATATATATAGCAGCTACTTGCACTACTTACAATACGGATTACATACGCTACAAAAACCAGAAAATAAAGAGGGCGGGAAAGTATGGTAAATTTTAGTTAACTGTAGTTTTAACTCAAAGGAGAAAAAAGAGATTAAAGATATTTTCTCTGCTGATTCACTGAAAATTAGCTTTATATGCTTTGAATGTTGAAGCGAGGAAAATAGGAAGGAAATCTCTGGCAGGAAGGAAAGTGTAAAAAGAGCGAGAGACCCCAAACTGATAAAAGATTACTAAAGAGGGAAAGGTTCAATTTCTTTATTATGTTGTTTTAAAAACAGCTTAAAATTTTCAATAGTGACACCACGAAACCTATGAAACCATGAAACCTATGAAACTATTGACACCACGAAACCTATGAAACCATGAAACCTATAAAACCATTGACACCACGAAACCTATGAAACCATGAAACCCATGAAACCTATGAAACCATGAAACCATTGACACCACAAAACCTATGAAACTATCGACACCACGAAACCCATGAAACCATGAAACCATGAAGCTATGAAACCATTAACACCACGAAACCCATGAAACCATGAAACCCTTGACACCACGAAACCTATGAAACCATGAAACCATAGAAACCACGAAACATATGAAACCACGAAACACATGAAATCATGAAACCATTGACACCACGAAACCTAAGAAACCATGAAACTATTGACACCACGAAACCTAAGAAACCATGAAACCATTGACACCACGAAACCTATGAAACCATGAAACCATAGACACCACGAAACCTATGAAACCATGAAACTATTGACACCACGAAACCTATGAAACCATAAAACCATTGACACCACGAAACCTAAGAAACCATGAAACCATTGACACCACGAAACCTATGAAACCATGAAACCATAGACACCACGAAACCTATGAAACCATGAAACCATTGACACCACGAAACCTATGAAACCATGAAACCATTGACACCACGAAACCTATGAAACCATGAAACCATTGACACCACGAAACCTACGAAACCATGAAACTATTGACACCACGAAACCTATGAAACCATGAAACCATTGACACCACGAAACCTCTGAAACCATGAAACTATTGACACCACGAAACCTATGAAACCATGAAACCATTGACACCACGAAACCTCTGAAACCATGAAACCATTGACACCACGAAACCTATGAAACCATGAAACCATTGACACCACGAAACCTATGAAACCATGAAAGTATTGACACCACGAAACCTATGAAACCATAAAACAATTGACACCACGAAACCCATGAATCTATGAAAGCATTGACACCAGGAGACCTATGAAACCATGAAACCATAGACACCACGAAACCTATGAAACCATGAAACCATTGACACCACGAAACCTAAGAAACCATACGAGAATACAATCTGTTATTCAGGTCGCAAAGAAGAAGTGCGACCGATCAGGGGAGCTGTTTAAAGGGTAAATGTCTCTAGCATTTGTTTCCGAAAAAAAGACTACTTGAATTCTTTTTTGGTTTGAATTTACTACAATAAAAGGTGATACGAAGATGTCATTTGAACGAGTTACATAATTATGTAATTGCCTGAAGTACCTCAAAACTAGCAGGGGCTATAAAAACAAATCTAGAGGGCTGAATATATTAGTCGTCTTATCATGCGGTTTCCTTTATTGTTATACCCCACGTCAAAGTAAATTTCACTGTCCGTCTGTTTGAGAACGATTTTCTGCATTGTGAGTTTTTTAAAAAAGTGAGGCCTGACTTCTGTAAGCTTTCTGCACTTTTAGCCACTTTAAGTTATTCCGAACAAACTAAACTCTGACTGTCATTCCTAACTAGTTAGTAGGACGCGCTGAGTGCTTTTGACCGAAACGTTATATTGTTTTCTATTCCTGCTGGCGTTTTGTTAGATGTGCTGAGCGTTACTTTCCTCGTACCAGTGCTGCATGTACAAGTAGAGATTTTAAAAGGTTATCTGCCTTTATCCTTAAAATCATTTCACCAACTTACCTCCTTGTCCCAGAATCATTCTGGAATAATCCATCAAATTCTTTACGGAAATTTGAATAAAGGGCGCTAGTTGTTCAATCTGAAGGATTTGCTGTGTTGCTGTCTGCTTTGAATAATTCCAGCAGTGGAACAGTAACAATTTTCTTAGACTTCTTTTTACATCCAAGAGTTTATACGAGAATACAATTTGTTGTTCAGGTCGCAAAGAACAAGTGCGGCCGATCAGGGAAGCTGTTTAATAAATGCAATATCGAAGCAATCACATAGCATTGCCGATTCCGAAACGTAAATGTCCGCTAGCGGATTTGATTCCGAAAGAAAGTGATTTTAACCAACATTGCAGATGAGTGTAATAAACAAATATTAGATTAGTTCTGCATTAGGATGTAGTTTGCTTACGAACCGATAGTTTCTTAGGAAGGTATGACAGCTTACTGATTGTCGCGCTTCTGGTTTATTCAAAGACCAACAGAAGGCGGTGATACAGTGTTTAAAAAATCGGCTGTAGCACATTTAGACGCCGTACTTTTCATGAGCCGAACCTAATTCGAATTAAGGTAGACCGGCTGAATTGATTCAGACGCCGATCTTAATTCTAGCCGAACCAAATTCAGACAGGGGAACAATTCTCATTTCGGTCAAAATATGTTACAAGAATTTCTGCATTAGGTTCAGTACATGAAAAGTTCGGCGTCTGAATCAAAGGCGTTCCAAAGTCGATCCAAAGGCGAAATTCCCGGCCGGGCTAAGCGGAAAGAACGGCTGAGCCGTTCCAAATTGAAACAGGCGCTACTAGTTGATTCAGACGCCGAAATTCAATGAACTAGGTTCAATGTATTAGGCTCATTACGGCGTCTGAATCGGGCCTAAGATATCTAATTCAGTTATTTTTGAAGGTTATTCGGCCTTAACCATTAGTCTGAGACACTGGAACCAAATTCATATCACATTGCGAAGATTTAAAATTTTGGCAAGGCGTTCATTTGTTGAAGAGTGCCGCCATATTTTTTTCATCAAGTCGAAGTGCATCACTTTTGTCGCCCAAAAGACAGGAATAAATCATTGATTCGAGTTCAAAAATCAAACAAACACATCGCAGATGGATATAAAAAGCTTTTTCGAGCCTTTAAACGCGAGGCTGTACAATTTTTAGTGGCAAAAAACCTTACCTTAAGTCACTTACCACTGGAGGCCCTTCGTGTCGTTCAAACGTGAACTGCAAGCTGCAAACGCGATCGCAAGACCGTGGAATAAGCTTGTTGTAGCCGAACTGCTTGAGGTTCAAATA